CAAATTTGAACAGGGTGCTTTTTACCCCCCCGTCCAAATTCTTAGGATGAGCTGTATTTACAAAATACTTTTGAGTGCAGTAATGCAGTAACTTGTTCTTCATTCTATGGGTGTTTGATCATCTTAATTTTTTAATGTCTTGATGTTCCACTAATCAAGCTAACCTTTCTTAGGACAATTTTGCTGTTTCTGCTTTCTATTTCTATTTCACAGACTCTTTTTAGTTCTTTTCAGAATTACAGATCCACCCATGGAGACCAGTGTTTAGCAGCAGCTAGAGATTTAGTTTTAGTTATGCAGGAAAGGGATGGTGAGTCAGTTGAAAAATTAGACTCTGGTTTTGCCCTATGCAGCAATAACTTTGGAAAAATCTTTTTTGTTCCTTCTGCCTTCTAAAAACAAGGTAAATATTACATTTTGGGGGCATGTTGTATGTGAGGAAAATACAGTATTTTCCAGATTACAGCTTACTGTGTCTTCTTCCGTGGTACAAACTGAGAAACTTCCCTTCTTATTTCGTAAAATTACTTTTCTTTTTAATTCTTTCCCCCTTTCTACTTGCATTTTATTTTTTAAATCCCTTTCCTTTCTTGGATGGTAACGGCACCCGTGAGTCACTCTGGTTCCTTTCTTTCTGTAGTCTTCCCACACAGTAATCCTGGTGTTGGTTACCACTGACAGCCTCAGTGAGTGAGTGACTTAAAAAACAACCCAGTCAACCAAACAAACTCCAAAGCCAACCCTTGAAGTCCTAAAAAGGTCCTGATTCTCCTCCTCAGAGGTCTTTCATAATTCATCAGAGATGATGCATAAAATTGCTACAAGAAAAAAATGAAGGCTGTAATCTGTAATTTTCAGGTGAATCTGATATCTTGGATTCCACATCACTAAGAAGATTTGCTAGGATCCAACTGTGAATAATCAGTGCAGCCTCTTTTCCCATGAGTATTTTAAAATCCTAGTAAAGAGTATTACTTTAATACTGTTCCTGATCATATCTCCAGAGTAAACCACATAAAGCTTTGCTCCTCTATCAGGGTAAATATCTTTTCCTTCAAGCTCAAAGGTTCAAAAGCAAATTTTGCTTAAGGGAAAAGTACATTCCCAGATGACTTTCTTCTCATGATCATTCATGAATATGAATGAGACCTGTAATGGTAATATTGAGGGACAGGTCAGGAACACAAATGCTTCATAAATTGCTAGAAAAAGCATATGACTTCCACTCATTTCTACAGCTGTGATTCGAATATTGAAACTTCCAAAGATGTGATACCTGTCAACAAAAATTTGTAAAAAGTTACAGGTAGCAATCTTAAAGATACATCGTGGGAACATTGAAGCCACGTGTTGGTGATATGTTAGCTAACTCTGTAAAGTATGTGTACATTGGCTGGCTCGTTCATGAGTTCACTTACCTTAGAAATGTTTGAATAATTATGCTAGTATTAATGGGAAGCTAGTCTGTCTCAAATTCACAAATCTAATGTGGCTTTAGAGATGCTTTTGAAACAAGTTTGGAATTTTATGAGTCAGATTGCCCAGCCAGCCAAACACACCAATTTACCACATTGCTCTGTGAGTGCAAGACTTGGATGTTGTTTACATGGCACATCTGTCAGTTCATCAGAGACCCTGGACCATTCCACTGAGTGAACTGACAAATGACCATTTGTACAGTAGCATGCTTGACTGCCTGTCCGTTGAGGCATTAGTAACAAAAGCCTATCTGTGATGGGCCTGATGCACATTGTGGATGGACAACACATCAAGATTCAAGCTGCTTTTTTTGCAGTAAATTGGTGTGTGGGAAGGGTAGAGTTACCAAATTTTCAGTTGCAAGAAAGAGGGCACCTGTGGGGGGGAGTGGGTATATGATATTGGGGGGGCAGTAATATCCCCCTCCCCCCCCAAGCCACAGCCTCCCACCAGCCCTGCTGGTGCCCCCCTAACTCCTGACCCACAATACCCTGCCCCCCGACCATGCTGGTGCCCCTCACTTCCAGCCCTCAGCCCCTCTATCCCCTGCCCCCACCTCAGCCCTGCTGCCTACGCAGCTCCCTGCTGTCCCCAGAGACCCCCCACCCCCTTCCCACACTCACACCCACATCTTCACACATGCATACAGCTGCTGGGCTTGTGCACAGAATATGTGATGTCCTGCCTCCAGCCACCTTCCCCCACTGCCCCCAGCTCCAAGCAGCTCCTTGCTGGTGCAGAGAGAGATCAAAATCCCGGAAACTTGCTGATACTGTAAAAAAAACAAACAAAAAAAAAACAAAAAAAAAACAACCACCCAGATGGAGATGGGAGGACCCAGAAAGAGGACATGTCTGGGAAAACCTGGACATATGGTAACCCCAGGGAAGAGGAAGCATAGGTGTCAAAGAAAGCACTCTAAGGGTAGCCTAAAAGTTGAAGCTGATTTGAGTGCAGTCTGCTATCTAACTTGGTGTGCTTGGTCATTAATAGAAAGCAGTGGAGTGCCAAGAGGAGGGAAGGTTTTTAGAAGAAGGTTACCTTTTTGAATAACAGAGAAAGTACATATGATGAGTCAGCCACAGCAACAACAGGAAATTGGACTCCATGTTATGTGCTGCTGTGAATCTTGTGGCAAAAGGTCTTTATCATGCATAGGTTTGTATGATCATCCATGCACTTGCTGTGCTTCACTTAAATCCCCATTAGAGGATTATCATCTGCCACTGTGAGGAACTAACAAGAGGGCATACATGTCATAGATATGAAATTTAAGCGGTCTTGCCTTTATGTCCTAGGCCCTCAGCTGTTTAGGTCCTGGCTAGCTGACAGCTGCTGCATCTATGAGTCATCTGATGCAGGCATTTGAGGTGCTTTCAGGGAAGGCAGGAAGGTTTATTAAGATTCACCATATTTGCCTGAATTCAAGATGACCTCAGATTTTAAGATGCCCGCTCCCAAATGGATTCTATACTTATGCCTGCCTGTCCCTCTTAGCCATTTTCTGCCCCTTGTCCTCTTCCCCTGGCCGTGTCCTGCAGTTCCTGGTGCCTTTACACTGGGTTTCACCCCAGCTCCTGTGCTGCTCTGTGCTGGGTACTGTACTACCAGGTGCCTTGGCCCTGGATGTCATGCTGCCCCATGACTCTGTCCTGGGTCTAGTGATGCCCCAAGTTCCTCAAAGTGGGCTTCTGCTGCTGCTTTTGACTGAAGGTGCTGAATTTTTACTTTAACTGTGTTCTAAGGCAAGGCTTTGTTTTCTCCATGTTGCATGGGAGGGCTCCTCTTGGAATCGAATAAATATGGTATTTTACAGGCTGAGGAAGCCTTCTCAGTGTGACTCATTCTCCCCTTATTTGTCAGATGTGTTGCGTGTATGCATGTGTGGAGGAACAAAATTCTAATATAAAAGCCTAAGTCTGTCTGTCTGTCATGCTTTATTTGCGCTATGCTTGGCTGACAAACAGCCAATCAGAGCATGAAGAAGTGTTCTGACAGAAGGCAGCCCACCACCATGATGGTGGGGGGACATGGGATGGATTGGTGGGGGCGAGTGAGCCTTCTCCCCACCCGCCTCCCCTGCATCAGCCTCTCCCCCGCTCCTCCCATCCTTGAGCTCTGCCCTTCCCCCGGTCATGCTTGACTAGCAGTTGGCTAGTACCTACATATGCATACAATAATGGGAAATATGAAGCAGTGATTGCTCTGTTTATACGTATTTATTTATAGAAGGGTCCAGAGATCTTCAGAAATACAGTAGTACATTGAAACAAGTGGATATACTTTGCCGCCATTACTAATTGCTATTTGTTCATTATTATACTTTTCTATATCTATATTTAACATGTATGTTTGGCACTATAGGGCAGGTTTATGCTCACTACTGTAGGGTAGGATTAGAGGGAAGTGTATAATTGCTGTAGTATTTACCTTTAAGACTAGTAGGACATTTTAAACTACAACTGCTTGACTAAAATTAAATGTAGATAGATGATAATGAAGATGCAAAGTATTTTCCCATAAATATTTGCTAGTAGTTGAGGAGCTAGAGGAAAACGAAATTTATTTTACTTATGAAATATCCTTTTCAGATATTACATTTTAGAAGTAATAATTTGTTAAAATTCCAACTTAAGAATTATTAAGGACTCTACTTCTAAGACTAAAAGTGATGGCAGAAAATATTTGACAACCACAGACAATTAACTGTTATGTTACCTGAGTTATTTGACATGATAGTCCATTGTAATTAAAGGCCAGTTATTCAGATTTACAAGATTTGACTGTCAGTTCATCTCTCACTAATACTTGTAGTAGTAATAACAGTATCTGTTACTGTTGTTGTAATTGTATGTTGTTGTTAACTGGCGACTGAGGATAATTAACCGGCAAGCAAAAGAGCCATTTTTGTTTCTGCCATTTGCTACCAAGTGAGGAGATTCTTGTTTTTAAAGGTATATGTACATAGCATATGTGGCTGATGATGCATATCAACTAGATAGACTTGTATATTCAGTAAAATGACTCCAACCTCCTCTACCACCCCCAAACAAAAACCCAGCAGCCATAAAAAACAATTTTTTTCCCAAGGTTTTCCAGGTCAAATTTAATTCTAAGATAGGATTTTGAATCTGAAAACCCTCAAATTGGTATTCTACTATTTTACCCATTTAAAAACAAAACAAGATACTCCAAGCCATGAAGTCAACCAAATGTGAAATCTGAAGTCAGGTTATTCATGACAACTTACAAATAGTCTTTCTCTAGTAAATGCTTATATATTTTTTCCACTTATCTTCTATTGATATCCATCCCAATAGATACAATTTTAACAATTGTCCCAAAGCAATCCAAAAAAGTAAAATGCCTACATATTTATTACTTCAGTGCATTACTAAGATAAAGAAAATGAAGGTTTGAGTACCTTGAATGTATGTAACCGTGTTTGTTCTGTACAGTGCTAAGCGTTCTGTTTTCTCTCAACAGGCTATAATTTAATTCTTATTCACATATTTTTTCAGGAGCTGGCAAGTTGCGGGTGGAATAAAAAAGAGAAGTATAGTTCTGCACCAAATGCAGTTGCCTTCACAAGAAGATTCAATCATGTGAGTTGTTATTGCTAAAATTATAATAAAAGGTTAGTTAATGTTAAAAATATGAATAGAATGCTTAATCAATATAGTACTTTAGCTGTTATTGACAGATAACTACTTGTGCATGTAGTGCATATGCACATGGCCTTCTGCATGTCGTGTATGTCCACATGGCTAGGAATACAGCCCCAGGCAGTGGTGGAGAGTAGCTCCCCTGTTGCTTACAGGTAAGTCTGTGTCGGAGGGGATACAGATTGAGGCCCCCATGGTGAGGGAGGAAATGGGGCAGGGGTTGGGCCTGGGGGCACTGCCCAGCTAGGACAGTGCATGGGGCTCAGGGCTGGGGCAGAGAGTGGGGCAGAGTCATGGGGGGAGGGAGAGCTCCCTGCTGCTGCGCGCACTTCTGGGGAAGGGGCATGGAGGGGGCACGTGCCCCCCAGTTCTGTACATGGGGTAGAGGTGAATGCAGGCTGTCCACTGCGGGCTCAGGGCTCCCCACTGTGCCCACCTGGCATTTACTGCCCTAGCCAGTGTTGTGATGTCAAACAGTATTAGGCACGACTTGCACTGTGTAAGACAAAGGACCTGTTTGTGCCCTCACAACTGCAGGATGCTATTTATTAAGTCCTTGGTAATCACATACTAGTACTCTTTGGCCTACACATAGCTGCTGAGGGGTGTCTGTTCCCCTTGGCATGGCTTGACTTATCTGACAACTCCTAATATGCTGTCACAAGTCCAGTTTTAATAAGCCCAACCACGACCTGAGTTTCTTGACCAGGAACAGCACTGCCAGCATCTCATTCATTGTAGCATGTACTGCATTCTAATATGCTAGCCTGAAGCAGGCCATCTTCTGCTGTTACTAACCCTGCTTCTTTCTTCATGGATAGCAAAGCCTTTTTGAAATATTGTTAAAAAAAAACAAAAACAAAAAAACAAAAACAAAAAAAACCCCCAAAAAAACAAACAAAAAAAGAGGAAATATATTCACTTTCACTTTCAAGTTGATGTATCTATGGAACCTGAACCTTTCTGCAGTTATCAGCGTCTTGGGTGCCAGATGCTCTTGAGCAGTTTTCACAATTTGCTTTGTTGGCCTTTCTGGGGTGAGCAGGTCATGCAGTACACTGTTTTTCTTCCCATCAGATTCAATGATTCGGCTACATGTTTCTGTGGGGGAATCCATTTATTAAAAAAAAAAAAAAAGGCTTCAGCCTCTTTGTATCTGTAAGCCAGTCTCCCAGAGTGCTGTCATAAGCTCCAGTTGTTTCAATATTAGTAACTATTTTGGGTTCCAACAGATTTCAAATACAAAGCAGTTCTTTAGGTTGATTCAATACATGCCCCTCTCGTACCATCCCATCCTCATCACCAGTTGTTATATTTGTCCAGGAGCATTTGATAGTCAATGACGATAGCCACAAGTGTGGGAAGGAGTGCTGCCAGGCTGGCAAGCACAGAATACATAGTAAACACAAAGTAAAGCTCTACATCCATTGCCATTAACAGATTCAACAAAAAGTAACTTTAGATTCTCATGTACACATTCCATGCATTCACATCTCATAGTAACAATGAAACTACTTTAAAGCAAAATTAGTGTAGCAATAATTCGCATAGTTGTTGCTGTTTTGATTCTGTTAAATTTTGTTTATTCATCAGTTTCTCTTATTTAATAAGGCCATATTATTTTTCTATCAAAGTGTGCTATACTTTTCCTTTTATCTGGAGCTGAAGGGACAGGCTTAATGTATAAAACAGTTCCTTATAGAGTAGACATATTTTCCCATTTAAAAGCATTTAGGTTCTGTGATCCATGCAGTACTGTGTCTCCTCAAAAACATGGAGCTGGATTGTGTCAAAATAGTTATGTTCAGAGAAGACTGTTGACAATGTGGCTAGATGGTTATGTGCTGCAGTTAATCCCAAATATAAAAGGGAATGGAAATCTACTGACCTCTGAAAGCAGTTGCCTGAAGCTTAGGGAAAAAAAATCCTATTCAGCCAATCTGATTGCATAAGACTAAATTGCTAGCAAGTGTTTAGTTTTTCTTTCAGTGGAAATGATCAGTGAGAATGTGTCCACTTCAAGCATCGAAAGTCAGCTTGTTTTCTTTCTTTAGTTAGCAAATTTATATATTCAAATAAGCTAATTTTATGCCACTTCTCATTCTCTGCATATCCTTGTGTTTGTATGCTGACTGATAACACAAGGTGCATGCACACAGCAAAATAAATAGAGAAAACAGGCAAAAAATCACATACAGGAAACTTAGTTTTCTACAGTAGCCAGTGAACTTCTACTGCAAACATGTTAGCAAAATTCCACTTGCCCAGAAAACATCACTGACAAATGGTTCCTAAGAATGGTTTATTTTCTACCTGTGCACAAATATATGATTTTATTAGAACTATAGAATCATAGGAAAGTAGGGCTAGAAGGGACCTCAGGTCAATCTAGTCTAACCCCACACCCAAGGCAGGGACATCCGTATCCAAATAATCCTATGCAAGTGCTTGTAACCCTTTTGCACAACTACAAGGCACATAGCTCAGAAATACCAGGAACACCCTCATCTGCCACATGCAAAGCAGGGAGACGAGGGCAATGTCAGTATCCCACCACTGCACAAGGAGTTAATGCATTTGAGAGATCCAAGGAAGAGGACCCACTACAGAAGAGCCTCTTCTGTCTCCTCCCCCCTTCCCCAAAGTCTGGACTAATCTTACTGGGGTAAAATTCTTTCTTGACCCCAGATGTGGTGATTGGTCTCATCCTAAGTGGTGGGGCTAAGCCCCTAACTAGGAACCCTCTGGGTTTTAGCATGAACTCCATGTGCCCCTGGAGGCTGGGAGCACACAGTGAGCTCCTGCAGGTGGCAGCAGGAGTGTGACGGTTGCAAGGGGTGAGCTCCGGCAGGTAGCCATGGCACTGTTGGCAGGGGCGGCAAGCGTCTCCTGGCAGTTGGTGACCGCCCCCAGCTGCAGCCGTCATTGGCAGTGGCCAGTGGTGATCGAGGACTGCCTGCAGATGTTGGTGGCGGGCGGTAACCGCCTGCAGGTGCCACCAGTAGTGTCAGCAGTGCCTTTTTGCAGGGGGTGCACCGCCAAGCCTGGGGGGGCATGTGCACGTGCATGCACCCTCTATGCGTTGCCAATGGGTTTTAGTTCCAGTAGGAGCCAGTGGTGCACCTCATTCAAAGTCTACAGCCTCAACTGCAGTCAGCATCCAGTACTTCTGAGGAAGGGGGGAAAAATACCCTGACACCAAGATGGGAAAAATTCCTTCCTGATCCCATGTGGTAACTGCTTAAGTCCAGAAGCTTGGCAAAGTACAATCACCTTCCACTCTGTTCTGCAGCCTGAGGACAGCAAACATGTCCTACCCCCTTTCTGTCACCATTTTTCCCCCATGAATTTTATCCCAGTCCCTTTAGTCTTCTTTTGTAATTAAGCTGGTTGTAGAGCTCTGCTTCATTCTCCTGTTGCTGAGAATTGCCCTCTCTGATATCCACCTGCTCTGGGCTGCAGAGCTCTTCCCATGATCTCTCAGCACTCTGAGTGGGGAGTGGTTGTCTGTGTTCAACTTTTTCTCTTAGCACTACATTCCAGGTATTGCTTAATATTAAATCTGGGTTGTCCAGCTGGTGGCCTGTTGCCTGCAAGGGGTTAACTTGATCTGTGGGCTCCTACCCAGCCACTGTCACTCCATTTCTTTGGCTGTAGCAGCAGCCAGGACTTCCTGGCTCTCCCTCCTTCCTATGGCTTTTGCTTCTTGCCTTTTTCCCAGGGGATGGTGCAGTAGAGTCCCACAGTGCTGGGGGAGCCCTGGACCTGTAGTGTATGGCATGGTGCAGCAGGGGACCCTTTGGCCAGGGGGCTGAGGATGAGGGACATTGCTGTTATGTCCTCCACTTAATTGCCTTTTCCACAAGATGAACGTGCCTAATTCCTTCAACCTCTTTTTCATACAGCTTGCTTTTTTGTAACCTTAATCATTGTGCCTCCCATTTCTGGACACTTTTTAACTACTTCATATCTTCTTTTTTTAAAATTCCATATTTTATGGTAACCTAAAACTTTGCACAGTAGTCTAGATGTGGCCAGACTAGCACTAAGTAAACAGGAACCATCATCTCCTGCATCCTGCTCCTATTGATACAGCCCAAAACTGCATTAGCCTTCTTTGCAGTTGCATCACACTGCAGTCTCTCATTGAGTCTGTGATCCACCAAGAACCTTAGATCCTTCTCTATAATACCAATCCAGGCAATTGTTACCCATTTTGTATTTGTGGTTTTGATTATTCTTTCCAAGGCATATAGTACCTTGCATCTGTCAGCATTGCACTTTATCCTGTTGGCTGTAGCCCAGCTTTCCAGGCTATTAAATTTCTTCTGAATTGTGCTCTTATCCTCCAGTCTGCAGTCCTTCCAGAATTCATGTCATTTACAGATTTGTTCAGGAAATTCTTTACTCCAGTATTCAAATCATTATTAAATACATTGAATAATACCACGCCCAAGATAGACCCTGTGGGACTACTTGGGATCTCCTGCCATTCTGACATGGATCCATTTATACCTACCCTTTGCTTGCAGCTGTTGAGCCAGTTGTCTGTCCACCTTGTAATTGGTTTGTCTAGCCTACACTTCTCCAATTTCTTAATTAGCAGGAAATATGAAATTTTGTCACAAACCTTACTGAAGTCCAGATATGCTGTATCCACTGCATTCCCTTCATCTGTCCAGTTAGTTTACTTTACCAAAGAAAGTCAAGTTTGTTTGGCACGATTCGTTTTCAGTAAGCCCATGCTGGCTGGTGGTGATCAGTCTTTCCTCCTCCAAGTGCTTGCAAATAAACTTCCTTAAGTTATGCTCTAGTAACTTCCTGGGTATTGGAAGCGAGGCCAACTGTCTGTAATTCTCCAGGGCATTATGTTTTTCCAGTCCTCTGGTACCTTCCCTGTCTCCCATGACTTGGTAAATATTTTTCCCAGGGCTCTGAGA